CTTTACACCCGGACTCTGACCGCAGCAGAAGCACCGTGAGTGTGTGGAGCCAGTTTATATTCTGTGTGGAGTTAAAAGAAAATAAATGTTTGGATAAAAACTACTCCATTCGTCGACTGATGTCTTCAAGCTGCAACATATACCTGAGAAACACATAATATTGCCCCTTTAACAATACAAGTGGTTGAACTCCAAACCCTTTTTTTTGCCTCCTCCTCAAAAGCCCAGAGGGGGGCAGCAACAAGTAGATCCAGGAAAGTTTTCCAAACCACAAACAGGTGAGGTTTTGTTACAAATAAATCAAAGCTTGTTTTGAAGGTTGTTCCTGCACTTCTCAAGTTTCCATATAAACTTGTATTTATTTAAAAACTAATATACATTTCTCTTTTTAGGAATGCTTTACAAAACGACCTAAAATGTATTTATTTTATTTGCAAAAGAGATGAGATATTTTTTTCTTGGCTCTGATGAGAATAAACTAAGCATGCACAATATGGCAACAATCAATAGTTGTGGAGAACTAAACTGTGTCTTATCACATCTTTGTCTGCTTGTACTTTGCACCAATAGTACTGTCAGAAACACAAACAACAACAAAACAAGGTGAGAGGAGTCTATTCTGGCAACACGGAGGGAAAACTAATCACAGCTTTTTTTTGTTGCTTTTATTTCAACAGTTTTGCTGCTTTATTTAACCAAACTAGAGATTGTCAGCCATTAAACACAATCGGTTCTTGTGCAGAGACGACAAACCTTTCACTAAAAGAGGGTTCGAACAAAACAGGTGTCAGAAACATGTGAAGTGTTAATATGGGATCTGCAAAGATGGTCTGGATTTTAAAAATTCTAACGGGATTAAAAAAGGTTCACTTTGCCCCAAACAAACTGGTTCCATCTGATCCTTAAAGGCAAAGACGTGTAATGTCATTTCTTCACATCTTTGCTTCACACTTACGTTCTCAGTGGATGGCAGCGTGTGTGTCGTCCTGGTGGGACAGACTTCCTGTTTCCTGTCAGCTGAACCTTCCCACTTCCTGCTGTCGCCCTCCTGCTGCGGCTCCAGTCTTTGAGAGGCCTGCAAACCCAAGGAGTTCAGTTAAATACATGTTCCTTAGATACAACTGAATTTAGTTTGACATTCTGAGCTGCTTTAGCTCTAAATAAAATGTAAATCGTTTATTACTCTGTCATGATGTATCCACATTCATTCTGCTTTTTTCCCCTCAGATTATTATTATTATTATTTTTAATTTTCTGGGACCCAGCTGCTTCAGTCGAATCTGTTCTGCTGCAGCATCCATCCTCCACACTTGAACTGCAAGATGAACTGGTTTTCTCTCAGATACACAGACGCTGTCACCTGACTGACCTTGTGCTCCAGCTCCTCCTCAGTCGCTCTGCTCTCCAAAGGCTCCGCTTCGCCAAAAAGCAGCGATCCGTTGCGGCCGGACTTCACGTGTTTCTTGTACGAGTAGTAAAACTCCACACACTGCGCCACCGTTTTAGTTGTTACCTGCAAACCAAAAGAGTTCCACTGTGTGAGTCTGTATTTACACCATAGTTTTCTTGTTTTATTTATGTTTTCTGTTTGTTTTTTGCAAACTTATTACTTCTGATTACAGGATGGTCAGGCTTTTCGGTCATACATATTTCAGAACAATCTGTAGTCTAGTAGACTCAGTTTGACTGGGGACCAAAATTGCAAGATTTGTTTACCTTCTCAGTTGGTTTGGTTCAAATTCACACTGCACTGTGTCAAACAAGCTAAACTGTGTGAACAACTCAGTGCTGCGCCAGGACCCACTGAAGGAATCGACACAAAGACCTCAGAAGAAGACACTGAGCACAACTTCCTTCTTCACGAAATGTAAACAAAAAAATGGAGTGGCATCAGATTTTAGCGGCTGTAGGGTTTATTTTTTTGGCAAAATATACCAGATGAACACTTTACAACAATGGGCTCAGCACGAGCAGAAGATGAGGCAGAACCATGGAGAATGCTGTTCTGCACACAAGGCAGCTGAAACTGTATGAGGCGGCTTGAATCCAATTTTATAACAGATGTCCAGCAAGGTATATGAGTAACTTTATTACCATAAATCCTCAGAATGCTCTGTGTTATAGTCTGCATCCTGCTTTTAGAGCGCTCTCTGGTCTGCTTCACATATGCATTCGAACTGCACCAGAGTTCACTTTAATCAAACCAAGACCCCCCTCCAAAAACTGACCTTTTAGGCAAACTAACTAGAGTTTGATTAAAGCGGACTAAACAGGGCTGGTATGAACACACTCTTAGTTTCTTTGTTCATTTTACATAACTTTCAAATATCCTTTTGCTAGCTTTAGTTTTTAACTTGTGTTTTGCTTCTTTTATATAAAGTTCTGCTACTTTAGCTTTTAGTGTTTTGCTTCTTTTACCATCAATTTACTCCTCTTCACAGAAAATGCAATTTCTCTCATTTAATTACATTTTTTATGTTTTCAGAGGGATTTGAATACAAAGAAACTATTCCTAAGAATAACTTGCTGATTGACTGTACACTCCTACAGGCCAGTGAATGTTGAGATCTCCTGAAAAGTATAAAATCCTAAAAATGATTCATATACTGAACAGTGCTAAAATTCTTGATTTGACTCAATTTTTTCTTATTTCAAGAATCTTACAAAGTAAAATTTTCTTACTCGATTGGCAGAAATTTATGACTTAATTTGAGTCAAATTTTCAGGCTAACAAGACAAATAATCTTACACATTCTGAAAACAAGATTATTATTCTTACACAATCAGTTCTTGTTTAGTAAATCAGTCCCAAAACAAGATCAAAAAGACTTTTTGGCTGGATATAAGATTTTAAAACTTGGTAAGATGGACAGTTTTTGCAGTGAGAGACTAAAAGGCTGCGAGGACGAGAGTCGACAGAAGTAGAATCATTTTGGGGAGGAAGTTGAGAGGTGGAGCAGAAGTTGGAACGAAGATCATATAAAAATGAGCTGCGCTGAGATATTTCAAACTTTAGCGAGAGAAATTCTCTAACCGAATATTCACTGTTTTCAATGCAGTTTTTACAAAAACCCTAATGAGTTTGTTTCGCATTAACCTCCAAACAACCATTTAAAGATGAAGAAATTGTGTTAGAAGCATAAAAAATCTAATCAAAAACATTAAAACATTACATATTATCCCAGATATAATGGTTTTATGTGTTTAGGGAGGGTGGTGCAGCGTGTCAGAGCAAAAGAGGTGTGTGTGTGTGAACATAAAGCAAGTCCAGACACAAAGTTTGACCCCAATTTAAATCATGCTGCACAGTCGTGGGGAAACAAAATCAAAGAAAAAACCCTGACAATGACAGTGCAACTAATCAAAGTGAAACCGGAAACCCTGTTCCACCGTGACTGTATTTCCCTTTCCTCCACCCACACAGGAGAAAACAATATCTCTGCATGTTTCTGTTCACTGTGGAAGGACTGGTGGATCTGTGCCAACTGCACGGCCTTTCTGCCACCGCAGAAGGTAAAAGTTTCCCTTCCTTTTTTTAAATAAATGCACACACACACACACACACACACACACACACACACACACACACACACACACACACNCACACACACACACACACACACACACACACACACACACACACACACACACACACACACACACACACACACACACTACCTCTTTCTGCACCATAAAGAAGTCCTTCTTGTAAGCAGCAATGCCCTTGTTGAACAGCCGTCTCTCAGTTGCCGTCCAGCTGTCTGATCCTGTGGAGGAAGGAGATCAGGTTTAAAAAAGGAAAAAGGGATTCGATGTGTTTGTTGGGAATAAAACAATAAATTAGAACAGTTCTGAAGACGTTTTGGTGACAATGCAGCTACTGCCTAAAATCCCAACATAAATGTGTTATAACCAAACTCAAGCCCAGTGGGCCAAGTCTGGCCCTCGGTACCATTTCATTGCGCCCTCAAGGGAATACTTTAAATGTTAAATAGTTTTGTTTTGTTTTTTTGACACTGTATTTAGTGCATTTTTTTCATGACAGCTGGCCAACTGTCAAGCCAATTTAAAATTTTTCGGTAATCTTTGACTTTGGTGTGAAAACAGCTACAGAGAATCGACTAATTATCTTGTTCTGTATTCTCTTCATATTTTACAGTCAAACGTTTTGATTTTTAGTGAGGGTTTTCATTATGTAACTGATGTTCTGGATTGTGGTCAAATTTATTTCTAAGAAATTAATAAAAAGTTGTTGGTAAAGAGTATGACATACGGAATGAAAGCTAAAAAAATGGTCAGATCTTGCCTCGTGGTTGGATGGGCAAATACTGTAGGCGGGAGAAGTGGAGTGGAAAAAAATGACAGAGATAAATAAAATAATTGGCTCTCTGAGATCAACAGAAAAACGAGGACCATGTGTGAAAAACAAACAAACAAACAACGGTCTCAAACTGGGTGACCTACTTTAATAGACAAGAGCTCAAACAGAAAGTAAACCTGTTCAGTTTATTTGAATCTATCATCACTCATAGTATCTACTGACTTGTAGGACTTTTCTACTCTGTGGTGAACAAAGCTGGAGATTCAATTAGATATTGTGTATGGATAAGGTAGCACATCTTGGCTAAAACGATAAAGTATCTTCACTAAATACCCTTGTGTCAGAGTTAAGCGTTCTAGTAGGGTTGGGCAAAATCATATGGTGTGCTATTAATCACTAGAAAATAAAATATTGACACTTGATGATAAATATAAGTGCCATTAAGCAGACTGGCATACAGCATATAGGGCTCCTCTTTTCTTTCTTCTTCTAAACCAAATAATAGATTGATTACTTTCTGATCTAAACCCTCACACTGACTGTTTCCTTCTCCATCTCTGCCTTAGAGCTTTCCTCCTCTGAAAAGATTCTCATCGGTGTTTGCAGCTCCACCGCTATCTCAATCAGCGCTGTTTCGGAACCTCCTCTCTGGTCCGGTCGGTGGTTCTAAGCTGGCAGAAGCGAGGACAGCACGCTTACAG